TAGCCAGTTTTCTGTTCAAGATAATAGAGGACAAAGATATAAACTCTTTTACTCATTATTCTTAGTCACCTTAGCAGTTAAAGTATTGTAATTGTTTTTAATAAGTGATAAAATATCAGTGAGTTTAAAAACGGTAAATACCGTCTTAGAAATAAAAACAAGATAAAGAAAATAGCTGAACAGTTTTGCAGCTAAAAGATAGTGGAGGAGGAGGCTGTTGCCTAATCAAAAGTCATTATAACCAAAAGTATATGAATCAGGTGAAAGAAGATCAATGAAATAGTTAAACCCAGACTAAAATCCTGTATGTGAGGGTAGTAAGGGCTGAGGAGTCTTATTAAATATATGGGACTGGAACAAAAGGTTAGTTATTTTGCGGGGAGAGAATCAATTTGTATTTGTATTAACTTATGCTGAAGTGAATTGCAGATGTACCTTCTAAGTATATTGACTTATGACAGAAATCCTAGATTGTTTAATACAAGCTAGGGATAGATTAAATTGTGATTTAATGGAGATAACATTCTGAAAGAAGTTTAAAAAGTTTTTAAAAATAGTATTCTGCTATTATTCTGGACAGATCCAATGAAAGTGTTAACTGTTGAAACAGGTTTAATTTCATTGGAACTAAATTTCAGTACAAATAGGTACTCATGACAGCTCAATTTCTAAATAAACTGTGTAGTAATTTAATTAATTTGTTTTTCCTTACATATCCAGAAGAAAACTCAGATGAATTATCTGGTGAACGTCAAAGAAAGCGCCACAGATCTGATAGTATTTCCTTTTCCTTTGATGAAAGCCTTGCTCTGTGTGTAATAAGGGAGATACGCTGTGAAAGAAGCAGTAGTAGTAGTGAATCAACAGGGACTTCATCAAATCCGGTAATCTTCTTGCTTAAGTAAAAAATGACTTAATAAGACTTGTTTTTTAAATCTAATTTTGGCAGTTCTAATAAGCATTCAGGTAGGATGTACATGTATTTGTGATTACTGCTATACAGTGGTAATTTTTTATTTTTATTTTTATGAGTTTGTTTAAGCCAAACTGGTGACATATGCCAGGGAGCAAGATCTCAAATGCTCCCAGTAAGTTTTTTTGTTTTTGTTTTCAAATAAACAAGTATAGCTCTTCCCTACTCCAACCCTAGGGTTAGGGAGAATGGTGTAAGATAGCAGAGTAGCATTGAGGTGGGTTGGTAAAATTAGTACCAATATTAATAGTTATTAATATCATCCTATATGTTAGAGAATCTTGTAGGCCACTGCACCAATATAAGTTCAAATAAATTGGAATATAGGATAGTCTGAAAATTTAGAATTTTTTTTTTTAAATAAGGGAATAGCCTGGCCGGTGTGGTTCAGTGGTTGAGTGTCAATTGAACTAGGAAGTCACAGTTCAATATCCAGTCAGGGCACATGCTCAGCTTGTGGGCTTGATCCCTAGTGTGGGGCATGCGGGAGGCAGCTGATCAATAATTCTCTCTCATCATTTTTTTAAAAAAAAAATACATTTTTATTGATTTCAGAGAGGAAGGGGGAGGGAAAGAGATAGAAACATCAATGTTAAGAGAGAACCATTGATTGGCTGCCTCCTGCACGCCCTCTACTGGGGATCGAGCCCGAAACCTGGACATATGCCCTTTACTGGAATCAAACCCAGGACCCTTCAGTCTGCAGGCCGACGCTCTATCCACTGAGCCAAACCAGCTAGGGCTCTCTCTCATCATTGATGTTTCTCTCTCCCTCTCCCGTCCTCTCTGAAATCAATAAAAAAATAAAAAATAAAGTAAGGGAACAAAAATGGAAATTTGATTTAGTTAGATATTTTAGATTCTAAGGCAAATTTGTGTTAAATATTTAGAATAAATTTTTTTTACTATAGTTGTCAGCAAGTAAATTGGCAGAGTCTGAGCTTTACATTTGCGATATGTAGGTCTAGACATCAAGAAGGTTTGATACTAATGCTGTGAAATGGGTGTAATATTGCATGGATGACATATCAGTACATTTTGATTGATAAAAATCCAAAGTGTTGGATTGATAAAAATCCAGGAGTAAAATTCTTAAGCGATGTCACTGAAAGAAGTTTTGTAAAGAAGTTTTTGCTAGCAAGAGTACTTGAAAAATGGACTATTTTCTTTCTTGTCATTTAACATGGTCTTTAAAATGTAATTAAAATTAGAACATTTATTTGTGATATGACAGTTTCTCCTGATCACTATTCTGGATCCGAATGATCATTTTTTAGTTCTCTAGAATATATAAGGGACTGAACCAATTATGGTATTAACCCTATTCTTTTTATGTATTCTTGTTGCTAGTATTTGTTTTTCTCTTCCAAAGCAGTAATTTTATGGATACAGATGTGAACTTTACAGTTAGTATTTAGAAGAGCTGTTACTTATGTAGGCCACTAGATGGCACGAGTAGAACAAGTTTATTCAGTAGATATTTAAGTGTCTTCTTTTCCAGGTTTTATTTGGCACTAGAGATACTGTGGTAGTCAAGGTAGATATGATCCCTGTCCTCATGGGAAGATAGACCATCTTGGTTCCTGGGTCGACACTCAATTGCTAAGCCCCACTGGTTGGGGGATCCAGAATCTTAATTTAGTGTCAGTGTGCAGAATAGAATTAAGGAAGAGTTAGGGGCACAGGGATGATTTAGGAAGCTGTTATAGAGGCCAACAAGTAATGTACAATGTCACCCCCTCAACCCCTGATTTTAGGATCTTGATGCTGGTGTAAGTGAACAATCAGGTGATTGGTTGGATCAAGATTCAGTTTCAGATCGATTCAGTGTAGAATTTGAAGTTGAGTCTTTCAATTCAGAAGATTATAACCTCAGTGAAGAAGGACAAGAACTCTCAGATGAAGATGATGAGGTAGTTTTATTTTCTCTAATTATATTCTAAAATTTTTTTCATTTGTTGACTGATGAGATTGAAAGAATGTATTCAGATTTCACTTGAAATACTTGAACTTGATTTATTCAAACTGGAATATTGTTATGTGGAATTGAGGCTTTGTAGTTCCTTGTCTGATTTATATTTTTATAAATATGCCAAGAAGTATGTAGGTCTTAATGAGCATTGTTATAATAGTCTGCTCATTAAAAATATTTAACTCAGTTCCCCTCTGTTAATATTAATTTACTTTTTATAAAAGTGACGCATGCATGCAGTTATATAAAGTCACATAGTATCTCTAGATCTGTTGCTTACATTTTTAGCTGTTTCATTGTTATTTAATACCTTATTTATAAAATAAGGTGCTTGTACTGCATATTATCTTATCTGAGTTTTTACCATATTGGCTCAGGATTTCACTGATCTCCATTTTTCCCCCTTTATACTCTCATTCCATTTGACCGTTGTCTCAGAATTTCTGATATATAGTAGCTCATGTTATTCATTTAGGACTTACCATTAAGAAACCTTTCTGGTTGAAAAAAAAATAATGGGTTTATTTTATTAGGTATATCAAGTTACTGTGTATCACGCAGGGGAGAGTGATACAGACTCATTTGAAGATGATCCTGAAATTTCCTTAGCTGTAAGTATACATCTGTTTTTAAGGTATCAAAAAATAACATTGAAATCAAGATTAGAATATATCTAGTCTACTTCCTGACGAGGCAATTTTTATAAAGTTAAAATCTTTAAAATTTTAATTATTTAAAGCGTTTTGTTCTTTTATTTGTTGTGTTGGGATATGTTGCTACATTTTTTAACTTTTTGAGCTGGAAATTTTAAAGAACATTATTATGAAAGGGGATCCAAGATGGTGGTGGAATAGGTGGGAGGTACACCCACCTCCTCCCAGGACCAAACAATTAAATACAGAGCAATCAACCTGAATAACCAACTGAAGACCAGCTGACGAGAAGTCTCATAACCAAGGATTTACAGAAGAGTCCACATCAAGACTCGAGACTCGTAGGAAGTGCAGAGAGCAAAAGGACTGACCCTGCTCCCACAGGCGGCAATTGAGGTTCCAGGGGAGTATCTCAGCTGCAGGGGGATTCCCTGATAAGTATGGGGTCTTAAGCCCAAGCCAGGCTCCCCAGCCCAGAGCACCAGAGCCAGGAAGAGCTGCCCATATAACATCTGGCTGTGAAAAGCAGCGGGATTTCTGTCTGCCAGGGAGAGGCAGGATTCAGGCAAATTTTGTTGCATGGCTCTTGGACAGGGGAAATTTTTTCCTCACGTCCAACTGGTGCAGAGCCTTCCTTTCACAGGGCCAAATCTTGGCTTGTTTAGGCCTAATAAACTCTGCTGGCCTCACCCTGACGACTCCCTGAGACCCTGCCCACCACAAAGGTGTGCGAGCACCCAGCAGGAGCAGCTAGACTTGGTATACCCTGGGACATTTGCTAAGTGTTCTCCGACCCAGCTCTGGCACCATGATTGGACTCATATAGATATGGAGAACACCTCTCACCTTGTCACTCACTGAGAACCTGTTGCATGCAACTCGAGTACTGCTAGAGGCCCTTTTAGTGACTGAGCCTAACAGTTGGAGGCAGGTGGAGGCAGACCTGGAGGGTCCTAGCGACTTTCGCTGACTGGCCCCTAGGTACAGTGCTGGTATAAGTAAGCCTTGGTGCACAGCTTAATCCTTCCCAAGCACACTCAAGCCCAGGAGAGGCAGCCACAAACTGTGAATCACTTTGCAGCTTTAAACAGGTTGCCCAGGGCCAGTCATTGGCAGTGTCTGACATTGACCTGTACCAGAGTCCCTCCTAAGAGGCCCCAGATCCAGTATACCCAGTGCCAGTGTCAGACAACATCAGAGCAGGATTCAATTAGCTTCACAAGCAGCATATCCAAAGATCTCAGCAGGCACCAGATTCTACTGAGGCAAATTCCACTCTGAGTGGTCAGCACCTGCACAGCAGCTCATGCTCTGTGGTCGGGATCGATCCTCACAGCCAGTCTAAGGGTTGACCCCACACATGAATGGGCCAGTAGCAATCGAGACAGTTACAACAGGAGGGTCCACATAATTCCCACAAGGGACATTTCTGGAGCATCTAGCTCAGGTGATCAAGGACTCTGTGCCACAAGATCCCACAGGACACCTACTAGGGAAGGCCACTCTACCAACACAGAGTCATAGCAGGTCTACCTAATATGTAGAAGCAAACACAAAGAGGCAGACATAATCGGGAGACAAACCTGCCCCAAATGAAAGAACAGGAAAAATCCCCAGAAAAAGCTAAATGAAATGGAGGCAAGCAGTTTACCAGATACAGAGTTCAAAATGGCTATAAGAATGCACAAGGGACTTAGGAGAAGAATGGATGAAATCAATTAGGACTTAACCTAAAAGATAGTAAACATAAAAGGCACATAGAAACCATAAAAAAGAACCAGTCAGAAATGAAGACTACACTAGAAGAAATAAACAGAAGGTTGGATGATGAAGAGGATCAAAGCAATTTGGAAGACAAGGCAAAAGAAAACACCCAACCAGAGCAGCAAAAGAACACTATTATAGAAAATTTTAAGTATGTATAGCATACATAATCTCAAGTGTACTTATCACCAACTTCTAATAGTTACCAACATTTTGCCAATCTGGTTGAATATAAACATTTTGGCATTAGAATGTAGTAAGATATGCATTAAAGAAATCAGGACTTGCCTGGCCAGCATGGCTCAGTGGTTGAGTGTCGACCTATGAACCAGGAGGTTGTGGTTTGATTCCCAGTCAGGGCACATGCCCAAGTTGTGGGCTCGATCCCCAGTGGAGGGTGTCTAGGAGGCAGCTGATCAGTGATTCTCATCATTGATGTTTCTATCCCTCTCCCTTCCTCTCTGAAATCAATAAAAATATATTTTCAGAAAAGAAGAAATCAGAACTTAAATATTACATGCTTTACTGGGCTCCTGAGGTATTTTTAACTGAATATTTGCTTTAACTTCTGTTAATGTTGCCTTTTCTATTTGAATAGGAAATCTCATTTTTCTTTTCTGGGTTGAAACAATTACCCAGATGCAAAAGTAAAATTGTAAAATTTTTGAAAATTTTTTTGCTATATTCTATATAATAAAGCCTAATGTGCTGTGTGTCTGATCAACCGGTCAACCAATCAAAGTGTAATATGCTAATGATATGCTAAGGCTGCTCAACTGCTTGCTAAGATGTGCACTGGCCACCAGGGAGCAGACAGTTGATTGGTCGACCAGTTGATATGATGTGCACTGACCACCAAGGGGCAGACACTCCTACCCGTAGGTTAGCTTGCTGCTGGGTTCCTGCTGATCAGGACTGAGCGAGACGGGCCGGACACACCCTGGAACCCTCCCGCAGTCCCTTCCTGGCTGGCCAACCTCTGCTTCTCTCCCTGGCCTGATCGTGTACTGGTGAGATCCCTTGGCCTGGCCTGCACCCTCTTGCAATCTGGGACCCCTTGGGGGATGTCGGAGAGCCAGTTTTGGCCCGATCCAGCAGGCCAGGCTGAGGGACTCCACTAGTGCACGAATTCATGAACGAGTCTCTAGTTAGAAAATAATTCAAGTAACTAGACTCATTTGATACCAAGTTGAGTGAAATGTTTCAGACATAGATCTTGCAAATTTTTGGACTTTTTGAAGCATCTCAACCCCTAATATTACAAAACGTTTGTCTTTGGTTTTATCAGTTATAAGAAACCTACTTTAACAATTTGAAAGAACCAATGTGGAAGAATGAACATTCTCCACTCTTGTTGCTAATGTATTATGTCATTTGTTAGGCAACTTAGAAATGGTACATTATTCATGGCAAGATAGGCAGGACCTTTTATGGCAAGTGTTACATATACAGGGTCCTCAGTTAAGATAGGGAAATAAGGATATGTTCAGTAAAGAGGCTGAAGATGGTGGAAAGTTTTGGGAAATAAGTTGGGATAAAGAAAAAGCAATGAGCAGTTACAGAGTGAGAACACAGGAAAGGATAAACAAGTAAAGGGCATACATTTTGGATAGTGACAATGACGACAGATTTTAGCTGACAGTGATTATTGAAGAATGTTTCCACATTGCTTTTGTGGGTGAAGTTAGGGAACACTCAGCTGAGCCCTGAGTTTTGGAGCACTGCTGAGGGAGTCCATGGTGGATTGAGAGAGAGTTTCATCTAGATCGATGGGTGGACTCTGGCACAGTATCCAGGATTGAGCCTTTAAGGGAGTGGAGTGGTTACAGGTCTCATTACAGAGTAGTAGTTGATGCCAGTAGTTGGCACTTGTTTCAGCTCAGAACCAACTGTGTATCTGTGTCCTCCAACAGATAACTTGAGATGCATGGTTAAGAGGTTAGCTGAAAAAGAAAAAAATACTTAAAATCTCATACTTGAGGAAAGACTGTTTAAATGTTGAATGTTTTCTATAAAACATGAAATGATGAAAATTAGGCCTTGTGATACATTTTACCTAGACCAGGGGTGGGCAACCTTTTTGTGAGTGCGTGCCAAAACCAGCAAAATCTCTGACTCAAAATTCTTCTGCATGCCAACCCTAATTTTTTGAGAACATGTTACGCCTACTTGATATCTCTTAAGGTGTACGTATGTGAAGAACCTTAAAGAAATAATAAAATTCATTCGAGCGACAAAAACACAGTATATGATGATGAAAAATACATTTATTTTTTAATGTATACATGTTATGTAAAATTATTTATCTAAGATGCACCTACACTGAATTTATCTGAAAAATAAAGAAGTCGATATTAAGAAAAAAATTGTAAATGGAAGATTGTAAGAGGGGGTTTCACGTGCCAGCAAAAGTTACTGGCGTGCCATGTTTGGCACGCGTGCCAGGGGTTGCCCACCCTTGACCTAGACATATTAAAGTTAGTGTTAATATGACTAGTCATTAGAGGGTAACAGAGACTAACTGTCTTATTTCATTGAAGGATTATTGGAAGTGTACTTCGTGCAATGAAATGAATCCTCCCCTGCCATCACATTGCAACAGATGTTGGGCCCTTCGTGAGAATTGGCTTCCTGAAGACAAAGGGAAAGAAAAAGGAAGCATGCCTGAGAAAACCAAACTAGAAAACCCAACACAAGTAGAAGAGGGCTTTGATGTCCCTGATTGTAAAAAAAGTACAGTGAGTGATTCCCAAGAATCATGTGTTGAGGAAAATGATGAAAAGATCACACAAGCCTCCCTATCCCAAGAAAGTGAGGACTATTCTCAGCCATCGACTTCTGGTAGCATCATTTATAGCAGCCAAGAAGATGTCAAAGAGTATGAGAGGGAAGAAACACAAGACAAAGAAAGTATGGATTCTAATTTCCCCAATAATGCCATCGAACCTTGTGTGATTTGCCAAGGCCGACCTAAAAATGGTTGCATCGTCCATGGCAAAACAGGACATCTTATGGCATGCTTTACATGTGCAAAAAAGCTAAAAAAAAGAAATAAGCCCTGTCCAGTGTGTAGACAACCAATTCAAATGATTGTGCTAACTTATTTCTCCTAGTCGACCTACCTATAAATTTTTTTAAACAAAATTTAGAAATGAAATTTTATTTTTTTACATTTATAAAAACAAATTATCATAGGGGACCCTTTTCCCCCTCCCCACTTGGGAGTCCATTCTATGGGACTCTCCCTCTCAACACGTGGGAGTCTGTACTTGTTCTTCGATAAGTCTCCACCTTTGCTATACTACTCTCTGTCCATGGATTCATTCTTAGACTCTGGCGGTCAAAGAATCCAGGTTCCAGTCCAAAAATTCCGTTTCACCAGGCTGGCGGGGGACCAGCTCCTGTCACCATGATAAGACATTTTCATTCTTCGGTCTTTAATGAGCTAGGCCAGTGGTTGGCAAACTGCGGCTCGCGAGCCTCATGCGGCTCTTTGGCCCCTTGAGTGTGGCTCTTCCACAAAATATTGACTTCTGCGAATGGGCCACAAAGTTTCCATCGCACTGTACATGCGCGCCTGCACGTGGTATTTTGTGGAAGAGCCACACTCGGGGCCACAGAGCCGCATGTGGCTCGCCAACTGCAGTTTGCCGACCACTAGGTTAATAGGAGTCAGGCCCCCAGAGTAGCTGTCCCTGGGACTTGTGCGGGAGGGGGTCGGAGGGGGTCGGGAGTCCTCTCAGGTGTGGGCCCCTTCTCACTACATTGTCCGGACAATTCGCTTTGCTACTTTTCCGCAGGCCGTCCCATTTCTTTCTTTTTCTTTATTCTTGTTCTTTCGCCCCATTTCTTTTGGAGCCCCTGGTTTTTCTGAGGTCTGAGGATCTCTACAAGACTTGACTAACCCCCCTCCGCCCAAGTTGTAACTTTCCAAATCCGCTGAAGGCTGAGGGCTGGGGTGGGAGAGGAAGTGGGTGGGAATCAGGACAAAGAAGAGCGAAGACGCAGGCGGGGCTCCGGGTTATCCTCTAAGTCTGCTTCCAGACCTTTCCCCGGAAAACCACACGCCAAGGCCCCTCTCACCCGCTCATTCCCCGGTGCCTGGTGAAGGAAGGGCGGGTGGCCTGGAAGGGCGTGGCCAGCCCCAACTACAGCCAATCCCCGAGGGGAGCTGGTTGGAGGGTGGGGCATCACGGGGAGGGGCGTGGATCCACAACTTCCACTCAGCTGGACCAATCGCGACCGGAGAGGCGAAACGGACACCCTACCTGGGCCCAGGTGGGCTCCACTGTGCGTCTCTCAGTGGCTCCGCGCCCAGGATGGAGGGAGCCCGGCGACATCCGGAGGAGACCGAGTTGCCAATGGAGCCCTTGGAAAGCCAGGTACCGGGGCTGGCGCAGCCGCAGGCCCCCGCGGAGGAGCGACGACCAGAAAGTCCCTGGAGCAGCCTGGC